GAAAGAAAGAAAGAAAGAAAGAAAGAAAGAAAGAAAGAAAGAAAGAAAGAAAGAAAGAAAGAAAGAGGAAAGAGACAGAGGAAGGAAACAAGGAAGGGAGGAAGAGAGGGAGGGAAGGAGAGAATGGGGGGGGAAGTAAAGGGGAAAGGAGCATAAGGGAGGGGAGGAGAGAGAGAGAGAAAATAAATAAAGTTGCAAACAGCAAAACCAGCATACAAAAGAATGTATGGGTAGGGTTTCTACACATTAACAACAAACTGTCCAAAAAATAAATCAAGAAAATAATCTCATCTAAAATAACTATAAAATAAAATACTTGGGGATAAATTTAACTGAAGAGATAAAAGATCTATACACTGAAAACTATAAGTCATTGATGAATGAAATTGAAGAAAACACAAATAAATGGAAAGATACTACATGTTCATGGATTAGAAGAATCAATATTGTTAAAATGTCTATATTACCCAAAGCAGCTTATGGGTTCAGTGCAACTGTTATCAAAATTCCAGTGATACTCTTTTAAAAATATCGAAAAAATTAAAATTCTTATGAAACCAGAAAGCAACCCAAATAGTGAAAGCAATCTTGAGCAAAAAGAACATGGTTGGAAATATCATACTATTTAACTCTTAAAATCTACTGGAAGGACATGGTAATTAGAAAAACATTGTACTGGCATTAAAAACAGACACATCAATCAATAGAGAACCTAGAAATAAATCCATGCATTTGTGGTCAATTGATTTTTCAACAAAAGGGCCGATAACACACAATGGGTAAGAACAGTTGCTTAAGTTGTACTGGGAAAACTGCATATCCACATGCAGAAGAATGAAATTAGGCACTTATCTCTAACCATACTCAAAAATCAACTCAACCTGGATTAAAAATATGAAGTAAGACCTGGATGGATAAGCTCCTAGAAGAAAACATAAGCAGGGCCAGGGATTTAGCTCAGTGGTTCTGCCACCTGTCTCACAAGCACAAGGTCCTGAATACGATTCCTGATACCAAAAAAAAAAAAAAAAAACCAAGCAAAGATCTAAGAAATTTATCTGAGCAATGATTTTTCGGGGAGGATACAAAAGCAAAGATAGACTAGTGGTATTATATTTAACTTCTTCACAGCAAAGGAAATAGTCAGCAGAATGAAAAGACGATGTATAGAATGGGAAAAATATTTGTAATCCATACATATAATAAGAGATTAGTATCCAAAATATACAGACAAAGAACTCCAATAACTCCATAAAAAGAGAACAAGAGTCTGATTTTTAAAGGGACAAAGGATCTGAAATGGACATTTTTCAAAAGAAGACATACAAGTGGCCAATAGGCATATGAATAATTGCTTAAAATCAGGGCCGGGGATTTAGCTCAGTGGTTCCAGTGCCTGCCTCTCAAGCGAAGGACCTGAGTTTGATCCCCGGTACCAAACAAAATAATAATAATAATAATAATTGCTTAAAATCAGTAATCATCAGAGAAATGCAAGTAAAACCACAGTGAAATATCACCTTGCACCTATGAAGATGGTTATTATGAAAAAGATGAAAGACAAGTGTTAGCATGAAGAGAAGGCACACTTGCATACTATGAGTGGAGATGCAAGTTAGTTCTGTCATTATATGGAAAGTAATATCAGTGCTTTTCAAAAAATTAAAAATAGAACTACCATGTGGTCCAGTGATCCCACTACTGGGTTTGCATGCAAAGGAAATGAAAGCAGTAGGTTAAAAACATGGCTGAACTCCCATGTGCATTGCAGCCTTATTCACAACGATCAAGATATAGAAATGCTGGGCCGGGGATTTAGCTCAGTGGTTCTGCGGCCTGCCTTGCAAGCACAAGGTCCCGAGTTCGATCCCTGGTACAAAAAAAAAAAAGATATAGAAATGCCTGTGTTGGTGGATAAGTGGAAAAATAAAATGTGCTATAATGCACAATAAAATATTGTACATCACAAAGAAAGGAAATCCCTCCACTTGTGACAACCTGAAGGATATCACCTCAAGTGAAATAAGCTAGTCCCATAAAGACAAATACTGCCTGATCTCGCTTATATGTGGCATCTAAAACCATCAAACTCATAGAATAGAATGATGATTGATGGGGCTAGAAGATGGGGGAAAGGGGAGATGTTGGTTAAAGAACTCTCAGTTATGAGTAAGTTCTGGAGATCTATTGTACAGCATGATGAGAATTTTAGTCCATTTGTGCTACTGTAATAAAAATACCTGAATATAAAAGAAGAGAAATTATTTCTCTCAGTTCTGGAAGCCAGAGAGTTCAAGATCAAGACTGATGAGGGTTGGGCCAGGGATTTAGCTCAGTGGTTCTGCCACCTGCCTCGCAAGTGCAAGGACCCAAGTTCGATCCCCAGTAAAAAAAAAAAAAAAAAAAAAGACTGATGAGGGTCATATCTCTGCTTCTACAGTGTACTTTCTTGATGCACACTCCAGTGGGGAAGAATATTTTATCCTCACATGATGGGATGGAAGAGACAAAAAGGAGCAAACTTCCTCTGTCAAACCTTTTTATGAAGGCATCCGATCAGATTCAATCACCTCCTAAAGGACATACTTCTTAATTCTGTTTCACTGGAATTAAGGTTCAACATGACTTTTTTTTTTTGAGACAGGGTTTTGCTATGTAGTTTAGGCTGGCCTTGAACTCACTATGTAGCCCAGGCTGGCCTTGAACTCCAGCAACCCTCCTGCCTCAGCCTCCCAGGTGCTGGGAAAACAGGCATGTGCTACCATACCCAGCTTCAACATGATTTTGAGGGGACAAAAACTTTCAAATCACAGTTATGACTATAGTTAATACTGTATTGTATACTATAGTTAAAATTTGCTCAGAGAATAGATCTTAAGTGTTCTCACTATAATGGTAAAAAATACAGTAATTATGGGAGGTGATAGATGTGTTGATTAGCTTGATTGTGGTAATCATTTCACAATATATATGTATATCTGATCATCATTCTGATACTTTAAATATATACAATTTTTATTTGTCAAATATACCTAAGTAAAACTATAAAATACTTCGAGGAGTAGCTTTTTCTCCTGTATTTACAGTTGTCCTTCAGTGTACATGGGGGATTGGTTCCAAGACTCATCATAGATACCAAAATTTGTAATTACTCAAGTTCCTTACATAAAATGCCCAGGTATTTTCATATAACCCACATACATCTTCCCATAGGCAGTCAGCCCTCCCTTTCCATGGATTCCACATCCACAAATTAAATCAGACACAGATGAAAAATGTCCAGAAAAATATTTCCATCTGTCCTGAACATGCTCAGATTTTTTTTCTTGTCATTATTCCCTAAACAATACTGTATAACTGTTTATATAACATTTATAGTATATTAGGTATTATAACTGCCATAGATATGATTAAAGTACACAAGGTGATGTGCACAGGGCAGAGAAGCTAAGCCAGTCCCAGCACCCGGAAGGAAGCTCCCCTGCCGCCATCCCAAGCTCCTAGGGCAGAGAAGGTGAGCCGCGCGGGCGCCAGAAGCACCCCCACGCCATGAAAATGAGAAGACACATAAACAAGCCTCAAAAACAGACTTCTGGATCACCTACAGCAACCCCAAAGGGAAATGAGATGGAAAAATCTGATACTCAACTACCTGGACTCTCTGAACTGGCAACAAAAGAGGATCTGGGAAAAATGAAATCAGAAATAATTACTCAGATAACAAGGTGATGTGTACAGGTTATATACTACTCTACATAAGGGACTGGAGCACAAATTTTGGTATCATCAGGGTTCCCTCACAGATGCCAAGGAACAACTGTACTTTAAATCTTTTCCAGATGACTTATAAGACCTAATACAATGCTATGCAAATGTTGTAAAACTATGTTATTTAGGGAATAATGACAAGAAAAATAGTCTACATATCCAGTACAGATCAATTGTTTTTCAAATATTTTCAATATTCAGTTGATTGAATCCATAGATACAGATATGGCAAGCTGAATCCTTATCCATGCCTCTTCTGCATGAGCTTGATTAAGTAAACTAAGAGACAAACACAGTCATCACGTCAGCCAAAAGTATTTTACTTAAGCTCAGAAATCTACTGAAGCCAGACTCTGGACAGGTTTATCTTCATGTTTGTGGCCTTGGACTTCAAAGCACTAGTTCACTTCTATAGTAAATTTGGCTTGTGCTTGGGCTTCACACAGCACAGGTAACCACTCGTGCAGAAAATAAAAAATATTTCTTTCTTTATGCATCTTTCACTGCAGGAGCCACGATGATTCCAACATCTTTTAGTGTTGCCTGATACAAAGAGTAAAAACAAGGATGCCTATGTCAGTCATGAGGGAAAATAGGTCCTGGATTGAGAACAATAAAAAGGAGACAAGAGAAGAAAGTTTCACCTTTAAATATTTAGAATGGTATACATTCTCATTCCCCCTCTGGACACCCCACATCACAGCCCTCCCTGAGTGCTCCCTCTCAGAAAGGCAGCGGATCAGGATGGTTGAGAACAATGGACCACTGGAACCCATGACCTAGTCTTGAAATCTGTCTGCATCACAGGCCATCTGATAGACCTTGAGCAAGTGACTTTCTTTGTTAAAGCACCAATTCTGTCTCTTCTAAAAAGAAGATATAACACCTGCCTCAAAAGTTGTTTTAGGAATCAAATTAAATAGTGATTTTTTTTAAATCAGCATTACATAAATTGAGTTATGAAATGAAAGGAACTCAAAAAGATTCAAAATTCAAAATATCATTTCATAAGTCAAAATTTACATGGAAGGAACACATTAGCAAATAAATAAACCAGATAATGGCTTAAGGGTAATACAAAATGAAAAAGAGAATATTTTAATCAAAAGAAAAGAAGAAATAGGAACCAATGGAATGTGATAAATACTAATGATAGGCAAAAATATACATATCCAACACAATAAAATGAACTACTAGAGAAAAAATAAGGTAGCAGAATAGAAACTATAAACTATACCAAATAAAAATTTCCTGAAGTAAAAAAATATTTGAAAACAAATAATAAATGAGCATATAGCACACCTGAGAATATTGATCCAAAGTAACCTATATGCTACTAAAATTACTGGGCATTACAGGGAGAGGAAAATGCTTTGGGCAACAAGGCCATACAACAAAAACCAAGGGGAAAGAAAATAAGACTATACTTTGACTTTTTGACAATAATGTTTTATGCCAGAAAATAATTTCTGTCATATATTTAAGATATTCAGGGAAAGAAAAAATAAGCAATGTTATATCTAGCAAAACTGACTTCCAAGGACAAAGAAGAAAAACAGATTGTTATCAACATACTGGGACTTAAGAAATATTATTCCTATGCACATTTTCTAAGAAATCTAGTAGGGAAAGCATTTTAGACCAGTACAGGAGAGGGGAATTGATGCATGATTAAATATTAACTATACAGCTACTTATAGAACTAAAATTAAAAGAGGATTTAAAATAAGGGCATAGAGGGCTGGGGATTTAGCTCAGTGGTTCCACCGCCTACCTCGCAAGTGGAAGGTCCCAAGTTTGATCCCCAGTACCTTAATTAATTAATTAATTAATTAAGGGCATAGAGAATATAATGGCTATATGTTCCACCAATATAGATATAGTACATTATAAAAATGGGACAATAGCTGGGGATTTAGCTCCGTGGTTCTGCAGCCTGCTGTGCAAGTGCAAGGACCTAAGTTCGATCCCCAGTACCAAAAAAAAAAAAATGGGACAATAATGGTGAGAAGATTTGCAGAAATTTTAACTAGTTTGAGTAATCATGTTATTGTGATAGTGTGGTATTATAATACTGTGTATGTGGTGAGAGATAAATCAAATGAGTAATTATGTGATATTCTATAATCCTGTGACCTTGAAAACCAGAATTCTTAGAATAAGACAAAAATGCTGATATGATATAGAAGTTAGTTCTGAATTTCAGTTTTGAATTGGAATTGGAATTACCAGCATGAATTCATAGGCATTTTAGATAGATGATAGATAGATAGATAGGTAGATAGATAGATAGATAGACAATTAGATAGATAGATAGATCTTCCAGCATTATTCACTGATAAAGTGTAGAAATAATGACCCATAAGTAGGAATTCATATTCCTAGCACCTACATTATAGTCCTAAATATTATCTCCCACTAAATAAAAGAGATTAAGGCTGTTTGGAGATATGGCTGATTCTAGTTCTTGCATAGAAAAGTATAAAAACAAGCCAGGCATTACAACATACTAGATACCAAAGAAACTACCAAAGATTAGTAGAAGTATATCAAAAAGATGCATAAGCCAAATTGAGGAGGCTCCCAATGGCCTTGAATAAGACAATTTTTACTTCAGTGGGCATAATGATTGCAGTAGATTGAACTGATGTCTTAGAACCATGAGTTAAAAATAAATAATATTTAGCAAGAAATTATTGTTCAAACTTAAAGGTTGACAGAAAATTAATCCAGTATCTAACAAACTGATAAGCAAAGAGAGTAGAACATTTATCATGCCTTTACTCTCTAAATTCTCTAAACTCCAAGATAACCAAATAGTGAATGAGGAGAAACATCTTTTTAGTAAACAATTCAGTCAAGAAATGAATGCTCTTCCCAACATATTCTGCACAGTTCCTCCTAAGATGAGGTCTGTTCAAATAGTACTTCATACTGCTGCCTATCTGATCATCCTTCAGGGCCCTGAAGTGCCCTGACCAAGACCCACTCTCCACACCCTGCTTCTCCCCTAAAGAGGTGCAGATTACCTGGAATGACCTGGAACAGGAGCAGCAGCACAACCAAAGCTAGCAGAAAAGTCCTCATGACCATAGAACTGGCAGAGCAGTGTCAGATCTGGCAAGATGACACAGCAATGGGCAAGAGCTCTGGATTCTCTGCTCTCTCTAATCACCCAGGACCTGTGTTACTTACACGTGCCTCCAGCTGCCCACGGGTACAGTCTGTCCTGGGTCAGCCTGCCTCCCTCAGGTCCAGTCCCCAGTGTCTCCACAGCAACCAGCTGGACCATCCCTGAGATGACAGGCCTCCCTTTGTCCATTTTCACCTTTTAGGAACCAAGAACAAATCCTACAACAGCCAGAGGGATGTTGTTTTAAATATATATATTAACCCTTGTTAAAAATCCAGCTTAAAATCTCCCACACTCTACAACATTTACTATGCTCTACAAAGTCCCACATTATCTGGTCTAGAAATCCATTATCCTGGTTCTAATGTAAGTTGAACAACCTCTTTTCTTCAAATGCATTTTTCCACTTTGGGAGCTGAGGAGAAAGAAGAGAGAACATTAGCTAGACTTTCAGAATGCATCTATTAAAATATTTTATTTAAGAGAACAGGTCCTACTGCCTAAAATGCTCAGTTTTAGGAAGGAGGGCAAAAGAGGGCAGAGTTGAAAATACTCAGCTCTTTGTCCTAGCTGTGCCGCTTAGTGAAAACAAAAAAAAAAAAAGCATAACAAATGAAATACTGTAGAACCCCAAGTTTTCACCACCAACACGAACCAAGTTAATGGGGTTTACCCCTAAGGAATCTTGAGGCTATAATCATCAGTCTCAGATTCTCTACACACCAGGTTCCGAGGCCTCTTCCCTTGATACCTGCACCCAATATGCCATATGGCCCTTGTAAACCACAATCTTTCTTTGGGCTTGCTTCTAGTATAGTCAAAGCACAAAGATTTGCTCAGATTATTACAAAGGCTTAGTATTCTCTCCAGGACCCTTGAACAGACCTTGTCATCTGTATGTAATTGATCACCCAATAGAAAGCTTTTTTTAGTACTTCCTGTACTAAATTTCAAAGACATCCACCATCATGCAGCTCCTCCCTACAAGAGATGGAGGATATCTCGCCATCCTTTCAGTCTAGGCTTACCTTTTAACTTGCTTGGATCAATGGGACATTAGCAGAGGATGCAACTAGAGGCCTGAAAAGTGCTTGGAAACTGGATCACATCCCAACACCTCACCCTTGCCACTGTTCTTGGGAACCCTACAACTTCTATCATGTGAGCCAACCAGGGCTTGCTATCGCAGATGAAAGACACAGAGCCAAGTCATCAACATGGACATCAAGCCACCCACCAGAAATATGACTGACTGTCCTAGACCCTCCACCCCCAGCCACAGCAGCCAGAACCACCCTCCACCAAAAAAGAAAAGAAAACTCTGCCCAAATAAATCTTACGCTTATGAGAAATCATGACTTTTAAATGTTTAAAACTGCTACAGTTTGGAATGGCTTGTTATACAACAAACACTAAATAATATGCCATCCTTTTCAAGATGTTAGCAAGATTGGCTTCTCCTTGAAGCAGAGAGAAAACCTGTCCTATTCTCTCCTAGTTCCTCATGGTCACAGACAGCGGTGGGCATTCTTAGCTTACAGCAGTATGATCTCTGCATCTATCACCACATGGCAATCTCTATATGTGTGTCTGTCTGTCCAAATTCCCTCTTACAAGGACACCAGCCACTTGATTACAGCCTGCCCTAGTTTGGTATGATTTCACCTTAACGTTATTACACCATCAAAGATCCTAGTTCCAAATAAGTCATATTTATAGGTATCTGGTGTTAGGACTTGAATGTACATTTTGCAGAAGACAACAATTCAACTCACAACAAATAGTATGTTTTAGAAATTTACTGAGTGGAATTGAACCTCTTTCCATACATTTTAGACCCTTTTATCTTTTCATGGATTGTCTATTCAAATTTTGCCTATTGTTCTATAAAATTTTTTATATCTTCCCCTCATGTTCCTTTTTTATCTTCTATTTCTAGAATTCTTATTCTTCAGGTATTGGACTCCATCGACTGGTTCTCTAACTTTCTAGATTTTCCCTCCTAATTTCTACTTGTCTCTTTTCTCTAGTTTCTGAGAAATTATTAACAAATTTATCTCCTAGGCTTTCTATTCATCTTTCCATTTTCAGCTCTCATATTTCTAATTTCTGAGTTCTTACTCCCTCACTTTTCCTTTTTATATCATCCTATATTTGTTTCATAGTTGTAGTACCTTTTGTTTCTCTGAGGTTTTTAATTATATTTCCCTCTGTGTATAATCTATTTCCTGTAATTGATTAGTTGGTTATTTTGTTTTGTATTAGATTGTTGCCTCCAATCAACAATCTTGTGGTTGGGCCAGGGATTTAGCTCAGTGTTTCCACCGCCTGCCTCCCAAGCTGAAGACCCGGGTTCAGTCCCCGGTACCAAAAAAAAAAAACAATCTTGTGGTTAATAATTCTTAACTACTTACTCATATTTAAGTGCATTACTGCAAAGCTTAGAGACTTCATGAATACATTACTTCTGTTTAGTTTTGATCTCTAACTTTCAGAGATTACTTTGATGATAATATTTATTTGTTAGAATGTAAGCGTGAGGGACTAAAATGCCTATTAAGCACATCCATGGGACTTGCCAATTGTGACATTGATAATAAGGTGATTTGACTGGGGCAGGTAGTGAAGAAATGTCAATGTCACTATCTTTAGATCTTTTCTACTTCTCTACTAATCTTCTGCTAGGAATTCTGGGAGCTACATAGGGAATTATGGCTGGAAGCTAAAGAGTTTCCCAGCCACCATGTGTCAGCTAATCTTATTCCCAGCTTACTAAATAGATCACCAATGATGTTTGGGAACCTGCAGTTCAGAGACTTTCTGTTTCACTCCTGATGGAGAAAATCTTTAAGTCTTTTTTCAGGATTGTGAAATTATAAGTAGTATAGAAATAGGATCATGGCTGACACTATGAAAAGGAGAAGAGACAGAGTATCTAAGGATTTGATCCTTGAACATTATTTCAACCAAGCCTCCTTATCTTAATGCCCCAACATTTCTCTCTCTATGTTCAAAGTGCCACATTCTGAGCTTTTGCTTATTTTGTGGTTTAAATTAAGTTGTTCTTTGGTTTTCCCCACTGTGAACTTTGATCCAGTATTCTCTAGTCAGCTAATTCATTTCCAACTCGTCCACCTGCTTTCTAGCCAAACGACTGTGTTTTCCCTTAGAAGAAAGAGAAATCACTACTGGGCATGCAGGTGGGCACTTCAAGGAGTTGGAGTGAAGTTGATGGATTGCAGGGCATGCACATTTTAAAGATTTTATTTTTTTAATTTTTTTTATCTTCTTCCCTTTTGTCCTTCAATCCCCTTAGTTATTTTGGTGGGTTCATCTCTAAAACAAAGAGTCTTAAATGTTTCTTAATTCTACTTGCTTTTTATTGTGCCGTAACCAGATGAATCTAGATTTTCTCTCTTGTCTCTTACACATGAAATGAGGGTTAACCATGGAGATTTTCTCAGCACATTTTTGGGATGATATCAAAGGTAAGTCCTAACACAAGCATTTCAAGGCAATGATATGCCAATACAGTTTTGAGAATTTAAGCATCACTGCTGGTACTAAAAAGCAATACTCAGTTTCAGAAGTACATCATTATACTGGATATGTTCATAATGTCTAACATTCATTTCCACAGTATTCATTTCAGAATACAGTTTTCTGAGGTTCAATGTGATTGCCTCAGACATAATTCTTGAATGTCAATAACACAATCTTTAACAAAATAAGGGTAAACTTGAATATAGAACTGTTTCAGAAGGAGCAATAATAGCAAGAGAAAGCTCTTGGCTTTTAAAAAGAAAGGTACATACACATTGTAAGGAACAAAACTAAATCAAAATACGTAGACTTTATATATATCAGAAATATCCAATGTGCCACCAATACAACAATTGCCCATAAAAAAGTAATAAAGTTTGGAACCATACTTATGTTTCTCTGTGTAACTTTACATTTGCATTCATATCTTTCCCATGATCTGCTACCCATTAGGAAGCTTTTAACCAGAACTTTTAGCAATATGTTTTTTTTTAAATAAAACAAGCCTCATGAAAGTACTACCATTAATGTCTGACAGTTGAACCGGGCAACGTCTTCCTGAAATATGTGTGATCTTTAAAAAACTCTTTTTCCTTCATGAATCAGCAATGTTCCATCTTGAAATAAATCACAGTCATGATCTTAATTCACTGGCTCATATGTTCTCTTCATCCAACATTTTGTGATGGTATCAAAGTTTTTGTAAGTGAGGTTTAAAATTTCCAAAGAGATTATACAAAGCAGCCAAAAATTCACAATTTGAAAAATGATCAAAGACATTATTAACCCATCTGTGTGACTCGACAGTGAGGTGATGCTGAATGATCTGGTGCAGCATTTCTCTGCATTCATTTAACAGCTTGGATACCACATTCCAGTGGTAGGTGTAATCCACCTGGTGGAAACTGACCACGGTCATAGCAAGCTGATGAACTTTCTTCTTAAATTTCTCCATCAGTGTGAGCTCCTCTCGATTAAACTGGTTATTCCTATAGAGAATGGCCAGCTTGATGACGGTTTTGATGAGATTTTTGATGATCTTCTCTGTCTCCTTCTTGTTCTGGGTATATTCCTCGGTCACTCTGCAGAGCTCATCTAGTGCCTCACTACTTGTGTCATCTATTGTGGTGGTGGTGATGGATTTGGACGCCATTTTACCCAAGATCTTCTGTGCCTGAATGGCCAGGTTTTTGGAATTAAAGACCTCTGTGGCCACCTGGAGCCCCAGGGGAGACTCAGGGCCCCAGCTATCCTTTTCCACCCAAGCACCCATGCAGAAGCAAGTCCTCATTCCATGCTAGCCGGGACAGCTTTCCTCCCCCTAGGACCCAGGGCATTATCCTTCTTTCTACCAGTGTCTTCAGCCTCTCTGATTTCCATGCTGTCTCCTTCTACTCAGGCAGCAGGATCTAAATCAGGGAGGCTGCGCAGCTCTGCAGGAAGTCTGTTCAGGATCTAAACCCCAAAAAGTAGCCAGGTCCACCCTCCAGCTCCTGAAGTCCAGCTGTATTACTAACCAAAAGCAAGCAGCTTCCCACTGGGTAGATGAGGTCGAGGTATACTTCTTGAGGTCAGCGGAGCCGGCTGAGGCGCGAAGTAGCGAATGGCGACATGGATACCCGGGTCACGGGACTGTGACCACAACGGCAGGCCGCGAGAAGCAAAAAGGACCCCGGGACGCGACAGGGTGGGACGGGCCATTTTAAAGATTTTCCATTGGCAAACACTCTCTAAAAAGATGCACGATTTTGTTTCATGATCAAAGTATTTCTTTCCCTGTATCCTAAACATCTCTGGATTATCAATAAAATAACATCCTTGCCAAACTGACTGGACAAAAAGTACCTCACTGTCATGTGAGTTTGTTTTCCTTTGATTTCTGGTCAGGTTGAGAAACTGGCCCTGTGACCCTCCAGGAACAGGCTGAGCTGTCTGAGATGCACACATAATAGGTCTTCCTCTGTCTCCTCCAGACTTATCAGTTACAGAACTCTTACAACTAAGACACCCACGAGGATAACAAAGGTTTCAAAACCAAGCAAAATGAGTACAGTGACTATGCAAGAAGGAGGCCCAGAGATAGATACAGTTTTGCAAGAGCTGCACAGTATATTTGCAGGTTGGGGTCAAGGACAAAGATCTATTACCTAGGTACATCAGGGACTTAGTGGCTGATGAGGACAACACAAAGAATCCATAAAAGAAAATCCAATTACCCTGCCCTGTTTGGTAGCTAAAACACTGGATTTCTGCATCTAGAGAGTCATATAATATGATGGTTGTGTGGATCCTTACTGCCCTCTGCTCCAAATTCTTGACTGAAGAGATTAAGACCCAGAAAAATGTAATTCTTCCAAGGTCACATAGAAAGAAAGTTAGTAGCAGAGCCCAGACTTGACACTGAATATTTTTAATTCTGCTCCTTCACTCTCTGTTCAAAAATCCTCCATATACCCAGGCATTTTAAGTGATGAGTTCTCATTTAAGTGATGAAAAAGAATCCAACAGATATATACTACCTAAGAGAGAATGTGACCCCTGCATGCCCTACCTTCCAACCCCCAGATTGCAGTCACATTTTGGGGTGTTCTGTGGCAAAGCCTGGTGGACATTTAGACAGTCCTAGCTAGGATGAAATTACATCTCTCAACTTCCTTCCTTTCATGGAACTGCATCAGAATTTGCCACCAATTTTTTTATTTTTCATGAGATTTGGGAGATGAAAATGAAGCAGCATCCATCGTGCTCTGAAGGTCAGAGGTGGTAAAGGACAAACACAGGGTGTGTGTGTGTGTGTGTGTGTGTGTGTGTGCTTGCATTGCTCCTCACATATCCCCAGACCTTTAAAAAAAATTTTTTTTGAGATAGAGTCACTAACTTGCCCGGGCTGGGCTAGAACTTCAATCCTCCTGCCTCAGCCTCCCAGAATGCTGAGACTACAGGCATGTGCCACCACACCAGGCTCTCTGATCCTTTTTAACTCTTTGCTTTCCCAGCTTCTCCCACAATTAAATAAAAACTACTTTTTACATAAATTCCTTATTCCATAATGCTGATAATAGTTCTGCTTTCAGGATTAAGCCTTAACTAGTACATATTTGATGCTTTAAAGGAAATAAATAAATTTGACGCTTTAACTGACACTTTAACTGAAATAAATACAATGACAATGGAAGATTCCTGGAGTTTGGACAGAGTCCCTTTCCCAGCTCTTAGTCTCTTCACTGTAAAGATTTCAGGAAGAATTACTTAGACCTCAGTCTTTCACTTACCTTTTCATCTTCAGCCCCATTCAATATGTTTCATGTCCCTACGGATGGTTTTTGTGGTTATTTTATCTCATCAACCCCACATAGGCTTTTCTACCCTTGACCTCTATATCAACAGGGTCAAGTCAGGAAATAGCAGCTACATAAGTAGTTGAAACAGGATATTTAACAGAAAGAACTGGTTCCAAGGTTCTGGCAGGCTGACAGAACAAAGGGGCCCCTAAGGAAACAGATATTAGGAACTCTAGGTGCAGCTACCCCTGAAGGGATGGGAACTAAGGGAGAGAGGATGGGTTTTCAAAATCTGATTCAGAAGAGGGAGCCTGAAAGGTTGGTTCTGGGATCTCTAAGGAAGGGGCATGGCCTGGCACTCAGAAAGACAGCCCTGTGGATGGGGCCCCTGAATGGTTAGCTCCAGCCAGTGCTGGAAACACCTCTCTGTGCTGTTTCCCTCGTTTTTTGTTCCAGTTACATCATATCTCTCATTTTCAACACCAACATGAGTCTCCGTGCAATGCTCCTCTGCCTGGAACCCCATTCCGGCTATAGCCCTAGCATAGCTTCGGTATTTACTATTCAGAGCACTGCTCTGTGTCCCCTTCTCTGCAGTTCGTGGCGCCCCCTTGCGGTCACTTTAGAGCTGGCGGGGGAGGACCTGTGTGTCTTGGGCCTTGGACCTTGGCTGACTTTCCCGGCTGACCCACAAGGCAAAGGGAGTCGGATTGGCTCAGAGGGGTGGGCTCCCACTGCGGACGAGGAGGTGGGGTGGAACAGCTCCGTGGGCAGCTGAGGGCACGTGGGCGTGCCTCTGTGCTCAGGGCGCATAGGCCAGGAAGGTCGGGCACTTCCCACGTTCCCACTGGCTTTGCCATCACTTCTGCTTGCAGCTGTGCTTGGGCCTCGCTCTCCAGTCATGAAGCTCCTGCTGCTGACGTTGGCCGTGGTGCTGCTCACGTCCCAGCTCACCCCAGGTAAAGCCTGGACCTCTTCAGGGAGGGCAAAGGGTCGACCCTGAGGCCTGGTCAGGGAATCCCAAGGATGGGGAGGATGAGGCAGCAAAAGGTCACCATGAAGAGCCACGTAGAGGAAGTGACTTGCCAGCAACAGGTGCCAGATCTTAGGTACCAACTACACCACCTAGAGCTCCTGGCTCAGTCACCTCCCTCCTCCCCAGGGAGCTGCGCAGGTGGCCTCCTGTGTGAGGAAGAGGGAAGGAGTGGTCAAGAGGTCCTGCAAAGAGAAGGAAATAGCAGCCCTTTGGCAAAAGAGTAAAGCTTGCAGCCACCTTAATAGAAGAACTGACTCTGTGCCAGGACAAAAGCCATTTACATATGCCCACCTAATTATCAGTTCTGACTCTTTGATGTCTGTTTTTCCATCTGGTCTCGTTTTTCTTCTGCCTAAATAACTTCCTTTAACATTTCTTGTAGTGAAAGCCCTGGATTTGATCTCCAGCACTACAAGAAAAAAAAAGACTAGTGGTTATTCTCTGAAGATCGCTGCAGCCCCTCCCCCCCATACTGTGACCCGCAAATTCTGCTCAAGTAGCCTTCTTTGAACTTCAGTTTCTATCTCCTTTGAACCTCAGTTTCTATCTCCTTTGCTCTCTAAGACCATTAGAGGTGCCCCTTCCACAACGACCCAGAACTGCTTCCACTCAGGGATCGAATGGAACCATAGGACTCCCCTAATTGCTTCCCTTCTCTCAAGGATCACAGTCCAGGGTACAATGTTTGAAAAGTGTATTTCATATCTTTCCCCCAGTTATCTTATCGTTTAAAGTAGGCAGGTAAATATGGTCCCTATTGCTCCATCTCAGCCTGGAAAAGCCCCATTTCTTTCCATTTTCACAACTTTCCTCTTTCTCATCTTTTACTTCCCTTAATACATTATCTGTTGAGATTATTTGCCTTTGTATCCCTTCCAGAGTAGACGTTTTCCTGAAGAGTTTTTTCCTTGATTGTAATTCATTTTGCCACTTCATTTCTAAAATTTTGTTTGTGTTTTCATTTGTTTGTTTGTTTTGCAGTGTTAGGGGTTGAACCCAGGGCCTTGCACATACTAGGCAAGCATTCTACCACCAAGAGAATCCCAAGCCCCTATTTTTTCTTTTGTTTCATTTTGTTCTGTTTTGTTTTGAGGTTCAGGCTGGCCTCCAACTTTCAACTCTCCTGTTTCAGCCTCCCAAGTAGCTAGGATTACAGGTGTGTGTTATCATACCTGGCCATTTCTGAATGTTTTAATGCTGGTAGATTTTATCTTATATTTAATATCCACAATAGATTTTTCTAATAGATGCTGTTAGCCTGCTTTTCAAAAAAGAAAAATGACAGGACGGGGCTTTAGCTCAGTAGTTCCACTGCCTGCCTCACAAGTGCAAGGTCCTGAGTTCCATCCTCAGTACCAAAAAAAAGAGAGAAAAGTGAAGCTCTATGAAAAGAAATCACTTGCTGAAGACCTGGTGGAGCTGGGTTTCATACCAGGCTTTTGGAGTTTTGACAAGTCTGTGCCCTCAACCATCACGTGCCACCCTTCCTCTGAGAGGAAACACCCTAGAGGACATGGGTTGGGATTGAGTGTCAGAGAAGATGTGAGTCTAAGGCCCTCCCCCTTTTCTCGCTGTGTTGGTCTCTGTTGGACTTGTCAAAAGGAAAGCACTTCAGTGACTCAAATAGACCCTAAATGCTTTGTTCAGCTGATGTGCACTAACTCTCAGTCACAGCAGGCGGGAGTTTCTATAGAGAAACTGGAGCTCCATGTCCTTTGGCTTGCTTCCTTAGTAGCTGATTCTGTCTCACTTGCTGCAAAACATTGTTGCAATGCTGAACATTGTTTCCATTTGTCCTGCCTCTTGTCCTGCAATCTTTTGGGGCAATCTCATCCTGATGATCGTCAGAACAGTTCTCTCCAGGGCAGTTTTTGAATGTGTCCTGGTTAGTCTAGATCCATGGGCAAGATAGTAGCAAAAAATACAGTAAAGGAAAAATAATAATAGACAGGGTCAAAGGAGGGAGAAGCTGGGGACCCCTTATAACATCTACTTTAATCCCTTTAAATCCAGAGCCTCTCTCTTTTTAGGATTAACATCGTCTCTCTTCTTCTTCAAATCAGGTGACACTCAAAGATGCTGGAATCTTCTTGGCAAATGTCGCCACAGATGCTTCAGGAAGGATAGTGTCTATGTTTACTGCACGAATGGTAAATTGTGCTGTGTCAAACCCAAGTACCAGCCAAAACCAAAGCCATCGTGGTCATTTTAAGAGCTTTGAAATCTGAAGCCAGGAAAATGCAGAAGCTGCCCAAAGTCTGACCCAAGTGGATTCTTGAGCTCTGTCAATAAACACCACTGGCTGATCACTGTGTGCCTGTTGTCTACCCCAGTGGTTCTCAGTAGGTCCCCTTTCAGGTGGCTGAGAAAGTCAAAACTGTTTTCATGATAATAAATAATAAGACATCACTTGCCTTTTCAATCTCACTCACAAAGCCACGGTGGAATTTTCTGGAATCTATAAGACTTATGTTGACATAATTGTTCTGGTAGCTAACCAAAACGTATTTATGTACTCTTGTGTTCGTAGAATTTCTTAAGGTAGGAGGCTTGAGGTACAAGTGAATTCCTTTTTAGAGATTAACTCAGTTTGTTTTCAGGAATTCTGCTGTCCTTACACAAACTATCTTTGGTTATATCAGTAATTCCATAAACTCATTATTATCTGGTGAATCATTACTTTGAAATACCAAGACTTTCCTTGCACAAGAAATAAGTACACTTTATTGTTTTGGTCTGCAAAAGTATATTAACAACCGAATTCAACAGCCTAACAAGAGAGGCATATGCTCTCCCTGAGGGAAAAATAATAGTTACTCTAGTCTCTGCAGTTCTGCACCCCTCAGATAAGGGTCACTGTGCTTGAGGCCCAGACACTGGTGGGAGTCAACATTAACCCCTGTTTGGTTGTGGCCATCAGGGAGCAGTGTCAAGTGACCACCACACAATGTGAGCCCAGTTGTCCCTTCTATAACAAGGTGGGTGCGATCAAGGAAGAGGAAGACCCAGAGAGGAACTGGAGAGGGTGGGGCTCAGTGCAGTTGTGCCCAGTACCAGGCCTATAAGTGGTGCAAGGCTCATGGAGGGAAAGGGTACACAGAGGCACGCTGGAGTGGAAAAGACCACGTCCTTTTTGTTAGAGGCGGGGGCAAGGTAGCATGGGCCCTTCACAACTAATCTTCTCTCACCCCCACTTCAAACCAGTACTTCTTATTCGAATTTCATGAGACCTAGCTTCACCACCACAGTGAGGAGAGTAGGGGGCAAAGATTTCTGAGAGGAGAGGGGGATGATGAGCTGGGTGTCGTGGCACACACCTGTAATCCCAGCACTTTGGGAGGCTGAGGCAGGAAGATTGCAAATTTAACGCCAGCCTAAGCAATTTAAGGAGATCCTGACTCAAAATAAATAATAATAAAGAGCTGAGGATGTAGCTCGGTGCAAGGGCCCGGGGTTCAGTCTCCAATACAGACGGGGGCGGGGGGGGGAGCAAAGGAGGATACAGAAACTCCTGGACTAACCACACTTTCCCCCAGGCTTTCCACTCTCAGACCCTCCCCTGTATGGCTACCCAGATAGGCACCTTCAGGATCTGGACATTGCCTTTGACCAGCCAGGTACCAAACCATCCCCTTACTGAGACTCATCTGCTCGGACAAGGACCCCGGAAGTGAACTCTGTATGGTCCTGAGACGCTGTCTCTAGAGGAGGCTGACCTTCCACGCACTCGCGCTCCTCCCTACTGAGCCAGACAGGGGCCGTACCACTGTCCAACTGCAGTCCAAGCTCTACGATCGCCCAGTGTGTCCGGCTGGTGTCCCCTGACTCCTGGTCTTTCCCACGACCCCAGATGGCCTCTTCTACCAAAAATGGTCTCCTTTGCATGACCCCCCCCCCATCCACTCCCCTGTCCTCCACTCCGCCCCATCTTGGCCCCACCTCCGCAGGTCGCCGGTCCACAGCTGTCTGTCTGCAGCTGTGGCTGTAGACTTCTCTTCCAGAGCCCCCGAACTCCTCCCGGCCCCGACCCCAACGCAGCACTTGGAGGAGATCAGGGTGTGAAGCACAGAGGAATCTAGCACCCACCCGCCCCGTGCTCCCTTCCGAAGCCCTGTTTTTGTTCCCCACAGCGGGATTTAACCCCACCTTCGGCCCGGCCTGGGTGTCCCTCTATGGCTCTCCTCCGAGTGGGGGACTCCGGGATGGTCTTCAGCGTCTCAATGAAGGCCTTGGCCAAGGCATTTGGTTCCGCGGCAGACTCCTGGTGGCTGTGTCCATGGAGGTGTTCGAAGGGAGGGCCGAATCAGAGCCACCTCAGGCCCCACAAGGGTCCAAGTTGTCCCGGCTCACCGGAAAAAAGAAGAAAGCCAGGTGGAGCCAGGCCGCAGCTGGGGTTCCACAGCAGCACGGAGATGCCGGCTCCAGAGGAGATGGGCTTGAAATTCCTAGTGCCATGGAGGTGGAGGTGGAGGAGTCGCTGCCTCTGCCGGAGGTGGGGGCTGAAGGCCCTCTCAACTCTTGAGGGCGTGATCTATTCCCAGGCATTAAACGCCACATGTGTGTGTGTGTGTGTGTGTGTGTGTGTGTGTGTGTGTGTGTGTGCACGTGTGGGCAAACACGTGTGTGAATTTTGGGCCCTGAAAGAGTACACTGTGCAGATGTACACAAGTTTGGGGAGGGGACTGACCAATCAGGGTGGGCCAGAGAGGACCAATCCCCAGGGTCAAAGTATGGGGCCTGCAAAGGTCAGAAAAGGGATAGGATTCCTGCAGTGACTGCTGGGCTTCGGTTACAATGACTTTCTCTGAGTGTTGTGGCCAACACAGTCCAGTCTGCTCCCTTGCAGCTGGGAGAGTCCACCCTGACTCCCTTCCCCAGAATGCCCTGCCATCCTGTGAAGATTTCCTGCTTTTCCACGTGCTCTTCAAGGAGACTCATGGGGGCTGTTTGGACTCGAGGGGGTCCTGAAGCTCAGCACTTTACAGAAGAGTAAGAAGGAGATGATTGTCCCTGTCAATGGAGTTTGATGGAAATTAGTGGGTTAGTCTGCTCCCAGATCCTTAGGTGACTTTGCTGACTTCTACTCCCATAAAATTCCTTCCCCTGTCTCCTCCTCGGAGGAAACAGAAGCCTCGCTTCTTCGACCAAGTCTGCCACCTGGTCCGCCTCCACATCCGTCTGCTCTCCTGCCCTCGCTGCAGTACAGGAAGTGCCCACCCAGCAGCACAGCTGTGATCTTGGTCTCACCTCCTCCCACCTGGAGGACTTAGCTCCGCCATTGTCCACTTTCTCTCTTGCACCCTCAGCTGCTCCTTACTTACCAGTGGTTATCAGGTTATTGCTGTAACCATGTAAACGTGTTCTTCTTGCTTCCATCTTTGGCCTTCACTGCCCTGCATTCCATAACCTTCGCCAGACACTTTAAGTCCCTTTCTGATACTCTTCTAGAGTTATTTGCCTATTTACTCAACAAATATTTATGACCCTTGTTATGGTAGGCACTGTTTTAGGGACAGTGATAGCAGTGAAAAAACGTTCCTGCCCACAAAAATCCCTGAAGCTTACATTCCTATGGGGAGATATGAGAAGAGACCCAGGTAATAAACATTTAAATAGCGATTGAAGTATACTAAGGAGGATAAGTGTTGATGGAGAAAATAAATCAAGGATACATTAGAGGCATTGCAATTTTATGTAGGGTGAGAGGGGAGACCACTGTGAAGGTGACGTGAAGAAGATGAAGAACAAGCCATGTCTGTGAGGGTGTTCCACACAGAGGTATTGGCATGTGCAAAGGCCCTGAGGTAACAGCATGCTTGGTGTGTTTGAGAAAGATCAGGGGGACCAATCTGACTGCAGCAGGTGTGAGCAGAGTAGATGAGGCTGGGGGATGAGGGGAAGGAGGGTCCTGGGAGAGGTAGATCATATGGGAGCCTCATAGACCATTGTAGTGACCTTGGCTGCTTCTCTGAATGACATAGGGAGCCACTGAAGGTTTTGGAAAGAAGAGATATGCTCAAGTGTATGCTTACTCTTTGAGGCTAGGTGGGGGAGTGGTAGTGTAGGGGATGAAGCGAGGGGGATTACTAAAGTCAGCCTTGTAATAATCCAGGTGAGGGATGGTGATGAATCTAGCCTAGGGTGGTTGCAGTGGATGATTGGATTCATGAGAAGTTGTGGCACTGGAAGTGACACCTCAGCACTTGCGGATGGCCAGGCATACACAGGGGAGGACAAACATGTTCGAAGAAGAGTCGTGGGTGATTCCCAAGACTTTGGCTTGCCAAGCTGTGCAGATGGTGCTGTTGACTGAAACAAGAGAAGAAGGTCTGAAGGAGGAGGAGGGTGTTGGAAGCTCAGTTCGGACTTGGAGATGTCTACTAGACTTACAGGTAGACACCTCTGCAGTCAGCCAATGAACTGAGTTCTAGGGACAGCTTTAGGGTGGAAATGCAAATCTGAGAGGTGACATTATGTAAGATCATCCTGGGAGCAGAGAAAGATCGGAGGACCTGGAGAGCTCCGGCATTTAGAGCAGGAGAGGGGGACCCAGAAAGACCTCCAGTCAGCAGAGGCAATGGGGCAGCAGGCTGTGCATGGCCACTTTCCTGTTGCAGTTTGCTCACCTTTCAGGGTCAGTGGACACAGTGGAGCCACCCTCCCTCCCACAACACTCACTGTTGGTTTCCATGGCCCCATGCTCCATCTTCCTCTTTCTCATCTCTTTTACTGCCTGCCCTCTCCCTCCTCAACTCTGAATGTCCAAAAGCCCATGTGTGAATGTCCCAGAACTTCACTGCCAGGCTCTCTTCTCTGTCTACATCCTCCAAGTCTCCAAAAGAGCAGCCAGCCACCTTTAATCTAGCACAATCCCTTGCTTCATTTTCTACGAAGTGTAGTTAAACTGTATTTTCGCTTTATTGAAATTATTCTTTGGCAGGGAAATTTCAGTAAAAGATTTGCATATATCACATTTCACTATTTGTAGCTTTAGCCAGTGTAGTTTTCTTCTATGGCAATTGCTTCTACCACCCCCAATTTTGGATTTAACCCTTATCAGGAAGATTTGATTCTTCTATCAATGTTCTGTGTTTGTTTGTTTGCTTGAGACTATAGTCCAGGCTGGCCTTGAACTTACTATGTAGCCCAGGTTGGCCTCACACTCCAGGTGATCCTCCTGTCTCATCCTCACAAGTGCTGGGTACAGGTGGGCACCACCATGCCTGGCTCTGTCAATGTTTAATCAACAGCAAATGTTAATAAGTGCAGTTTGGGCCCTGGTCAGTTTTATTTTATTCTGGTTAGCATATGATA